ACAACAAAGTGTCACAATTTTTTTCCGTCCGGACTACAATCAACGGCAAGGTCTCGGTTTGCCCGTCGTGCTCTACATGCACCGTCAACTTTCCGGCAACTGCTAGTGTGGAACCGCCATACGTTTTTAACCGTAAACTACATCTTTCTAGGGGTACATTCGGCCAATACTGTCTGTACATCTTTTCTGGCACAATAGACACAGAGGCTCCGGTATCAACCTGCATCGTGACATTCCTGCCTGCGATCTTAACTTTCACAGCGTAGCCACCGTGACTACTCCGACATGAAAAAATATGACTAAGCAAGACCTCGTTCTCACCACTTTTATCGTCCCAGTCACCAGAGTCTTCTAAGCCAGTACCATCGATGAGAGAATGCACCGAACGTGGCGTTGTTCTGCAGACCCTTGCCAGGTGTCCCACCTTTTTGCAGGCACGACATCGATATTTGCGAAAAGGGCAGGTGGTGGCGTCATGCGCTGCTCCGCACCGCGAACAGTCCGTCGCCTCGGCATGCCGCTCCGCGTTACCGCTCACGCCCCTTTTCGTACCTGTGGACCGTTGGGGGTGGTGTGGCCGCACCAAGTTCACGTCACCGAGTTCTTTGGGGTGAATTTTCCTGGTTTCTGTGCGAGCGAGTTCCCCACTTTTCGCCAGGTCATAGGCAGCTTGAAACGTCAGGGTACTCTTCTTAAGCAGCTCTGCTTGTGCCGTTTCATCTCTCAGTCCGGCCACGAACCGATCCCGCAGGGCGTCATCCAAGAATTGCCCGAACTCGCACGATCCAGCCAGCCTTTTTAATTCTAACGCAAATGCGGCAACTGACTCATTTTCCCGCTGCGACCGACGGTTGAACCGGAATCTTTCCGCTATCACCAAAGGCTTCGGGGAATAGTGCCCTTTCAGTATTTGGAGCAGTTCGTCGTACGTTTTCTCTTCCGGCTTGGTCGGGGCCAATAAATTCTTCAACGTGCGGTAGGCCTGTTTTCCAATGGCGGTGACAAAGACTGACACCTTCAAGTCTTCACTGACCTGGGTCGCCCGGACGTAATGTTCAAAGCGTTCCGCATATGAGTCGAAGTCTTCGTCTCCCTCTTCCGTGAACGGCTCAAACCGGCCAAAGGAAGCCATGTCGTGGTAATCCACCAGGACGCTTTCCGCTCCTGAATACTGGTGCCGTGACGTGAGCTACAGCCGAGGCCCGGCTAACGTGCCCGAGTATAATCCCATCCTCGTCGCCACTGTTATGTCTTCACAACTTGGGAGCCGACTAGCCAACACACACATGTTTATTTCAACGAGCAATACAACGGAATCCCCCACCGCACACCCGCGGCGGTCTTATATCTAACAAAGAACTTAACAGTGACGTCAGAGAGCCAGACACTTCCATGTGCATCTTATCTTATATACGACACGCGCTCTATCTTGGGTAGTATTACACAACACTTGTTGTTGGGCTAGTTGGTTATACATCATATACTTAGAAATTTGGCGCAACCTCGACTCACGCAAACACTCACACAAGCACACACACTTACACCAGAGCAACACACACGACACGCATGCGTGTCGTGTGTGTTGCTCTGGTGTAAGTGTGTGTGCTTGTGTGAGTGTTTGCGTGAGTCGAGGTTGCGCCAAATTTCTAAGTATAAGCTGGACAATAGCATACGTATTCGCTTGTGTCTGTTTCGTTTCACCCATTACTTCCAGAGTTGCCCAAAAATTTTAACACTAGTGTGTACTCCCAGAACCGTGCAAGGCCAGCTATAAAAAAACATACTAATCAATTGCTTATTTACATGTGCTGTCTAAAGGGATGGACAACTGATTCTTTCCGACGCAGTTTTTTTCAACGCGACAGAAAGCTTACCCTTCATAGTCTTAACAGCTGCAGTAGCCAATCCCAAAAGCAAACAGTTATTTTATAAGCAGTAATCATCGATCTGAAAGGCTCGACGTATGTTGCTTTTCATCCAGCAACACTGGGAATTGATAGAAATGCCGGTAGCCCTCCTAGTGACTTGTGCATGCGACCGTTTTTCTTCTTTTGTAGGAGTTCCTGTAACTAAGCTTAACCACGTTTATTCTTAGTTTGACAACTATGTATTTTTGAGACGATGTGGCTTCATACATCTTCCGTGTATATGTACCGCATCGCATGCACCTGTGCCCAAAGTTGACGCGTCTGTGTCGTGGATGGCTTGTCCTGCTGTCGTTACTTACTCAACACACGAGCCAAGCCAGATCACCGAAAACTTCAGTGCACATTTGCACGGCAGGGCCGAGTAGCACGTCGTTTCTGAGACAATGTGTAGGTAGACAAGCCATGTCACTCCAAAACCTTAGTGTCCTTGAAATTGCATGCACAGTTTCATGAGTACGCAGAAAAGTTGCTCAAGACGTGTCAACAAGCGTCATGTGAAGGCCTGACATAATTTTAGTGTGTAGTACTAATGCAGGCCTTTATCTATAGTTTTTTATGCTGTAATAATTTGTACTACAGAGAAATAAACAATATTTCAATATGACGGAGAAAATCGTTGGCCGGGCAGGCTAGTCTACGATCACATGACAGGGTACATCGGACAAGTGTTGTATTTGCCTCCAGATTGCGCCACAGGACATTTTTTACAATTTTAATGAAGAAATAAAAATATAACTCCACTTCTCACGAGAAAAACAGGGTGGGTTTGAGTCACTACGAGGGACAATTATTTTATTGTGCATTACATGCTCTAGGCAGTTGTTGGTCGTTTTAAGAAATGCATTAAAATTATACTCACCTCCTGTCTATTATCGGCACTGCTGCGGAAACGTCTCATTGCCGCTGCTCTATGTTTGAGCCATTTCGAAGCTGACAGCTTAGCAACTACTTACTGGTGCCTTGACACTCGCGAAGCATTGCTGTAGTTTGACGGTGTACTGCAAAGAGCAGCAATACCGAGCGTGCAGCTGCATACGCTGCCGCAGATCCCCACACACCGACACGGCGGTTAAACATGGCAGACACTAGATGGCGCTGGGGTGCGAAAAATGGCAGCCTCCTGGTGAAATATGTCTATAAAAATTAATTGTTGGGCGAGTTAGTACGGCATTCTAAAGGCAGCACCAGAACACTAAAAGTGAAAGTGCCAACACAAGCACTCACTGATTGTGAGTGCTTGTTTTGGCACTTTTGCTTCGTGTCCTCATTTTTCAATGCTCACTTGAAACGTCGGTTTGGCAGTTTCACATGTTGATGAGTTCAGAGCGCCCTGGTTGTGAAGTGCACTTGATTCTGGTTTCCTTTCAATGGTGGTTTGAAGCCCCGTACAGCAATCTGCGAAATGAGGCTCCACTCAGCAGCTCTCACTGAGCCCCATCATGTATCCAAAAGCATTTTTTAATTCCGAGCACTTTAGGGGGCAAGGCTATTGTATGCTGTCATCGTGGCTTGGCGTAATTTTCCACGTGTAGCATATTCAGCGTGCACTCTCGCCTGGGAGAAGTCTCCTTCGAGTGCCTTGATCATCAGCAAAGAAAGTGTGCTTGGTGTAACACAGGCAAAAGGTACAGAAATAGAGAGTCGTGAAATAGAGAGAGAAGGGAAAAGTAGGAGAAAATGAGAGAGGAAGAAATGAAGATGACGGCTGCACTTCCTTTAGTCTTGGCACCACCTCTCTTTGTGTGCGTGAGGCCTGCTTGAATGGCACATTACGAGCATGCAATATTTCTTTTATCTTTATCTTATGATCGCTGCCATTAAACTTCATGTCTGCTTAGGCCACTGCACCATCCTTCTCGTTAATATTTATTATCAGCGTCTTCGGAGTTGGAGGAATGCTTTGACTGCCATGTTTGGCACCGTCTATATACTCAAGCACCAGACGGCTGTGTCATCACTAGTTATTTATACCTCCGCTCAAATCAATGGGACAGTAAAGTAGCCAAGGCGATTTTCCTGCCATCACTGGCCTAAAAAAGTTGGCAGAATGGTGCAAAGTAGCCAAACCTGGCAACCCTGCTGTACGAAGAGTGGAGTGACGCAATGTCAGTTGAGAGTATCACTTTGTCCTCTCTTCTTTCTTGTACTGTCGTTTTGCACTAAAAAACACTATGATGTACACTGTGTCATCTCTCATTTATTTCCGGACTAACTTCTTTACACTGAGTTCAGTGCCATGAAAGCTTTAATAATTTGAGTTAACGACAACAATGAACCCTGTGGATACCTGCCGGGGAGTGAAAATTTCTGTGCTAGGAAAAAAAATTGTAAAATCTGGTTCTGTCAGATCTAACTTTAACTGTATTGCATAATGCCACTTAAGTGTTTGTCAACTCTTGAAGGTTCCTGTGCAAGATATGATTGCATTGGTTAGCATGAGGCATTGTATAGTTGCGACAGCAAGTATCTGGACACTCTTGGTAGGTTTTTTCATCACTGTCACATTCAGTGTAAAGTCAAACGGTAACATCACCCGACACATTGTATGTTCTACATGCTAGTAAAAGTGCGTGAGCACTTGGAACAAACATCACTAAAGCAGAGAGGAAACACTAAACCAATCTTTCATCGGGGAAGATTCGTGGGATAGGACGCTGCGTCACTCAAGCAGCAACTCTGAATGATAATAAGTACAGACTTTGCTAGATGGCTGGTACACATGCTGTGAGCTCGCTGCTTACTCTGACCTCTTCTAGGCAGCTTAACTGAACTTTGGATCACTTTGCCTCTTTGGGGCATAACAAACTTTCAATCAATCAATCTTATTCAACCAATCACTTTTATTGAAAAGAAAAAAAGCACAGAAAAACCGTCTTTCTTTTTAAAGTGGCTGTATTTCCTCACCCAAGCGTTTTGTAGAGTTATGCGAGATCAGATCTAAAAGATTTTTGCTTTACTTTGTGCAATAATCCAGTTTGTTGCTAGTGCATTCATTACTTCACTGTTGTGTAAAAGCAGATTTTTAATCGCATTTGTGCAAGCATGAGACAGTGATGTTTCCCCTGTGCGCAGAAACCCAAGAGATCAAGCTTGTAAATAATGCCTTCAACTTTGTGCGGAGCATAGCTGAGATGAAGCTCACAGAGACGGAACTGGCGCTCTACTCTGCCTATGTGCTGCTTGCTCCAGGTGAGTGACAACGCTCTTAATCTCAAGATACTCTGCTAGTTTACTCCCTTTTCGTTTTAATGCCGGACTCCTCGTTAAAAAAACTCCTACTTGTGCAACAACCAATCTTGCCCAAAAAGGAATATTACTGAAATGACCATAGCTGCATTGATAGGATTACCTAGCATTAATTATACAAAATACAATTTGACTTGGAGACTGGCAACCACATGTAATTATGCTATCACTTTGTAGTAATGATTAGAATTTGTTCTGAGTGGCTTTGGGACTGATCACATCTTGCACGGCGCCTTTGATTGCAAAATAAAAAAACACAAATGTGTGAGCATTTAATTAAATTTCTTGCATGCAAAATGTCAAGGGACAATAAAATACATGCCAAGTGCTTTGTGTACGTCCTTTTACTGTGCTCATGTTCAACTAAAAAGCTTTTAGCAATGTTACAGCAATAAGCAGATTATGCACGTCATGGTACAATCCTCTCTACAGAATTTATCACGCACGACGATACACTTCACGACAGGCAACCACGCTCACACAACCATTTATTTCTCGTGCCATACTCCCACCGCACCCGTCCCGACTTCGACCGCCCCGTCCCCTTCTCCCTCTTTCCGTGCGCCCCCTCACTGTTCACGTGACAATCGCGCACGCCACCTCGTTCCTCCACTGTCAACCACGCACAGCCTCAGAGACCCCTTCACTGTTCACGTGACACTCGCGCACGCCACCTTGTTCCTCCACCGTCAACCACGCACAGCCTCAGAGATTCACACCCAGCCTACCGGCACTCCCTCTTATTCCTCACAACTCTCCCCCCCCTCGAATCGTGAATTCGGGGCGGAAGGGAGAAGCAGTGGTTCATGGTACAGTACCAACTGATCAGCATGGGCAATGGTTCGACGACGCCTCGTAACTGGGTCACCCAGGATGAAGTCATTTTCACCAACCTGCCTGACCACACGATAAGGTCCACCTCGCCGTGGTGCCAACTTGGCCGAAACACCTTTGGCTGCATTACTCAAGGTATGAGTGTCCAAGAGCACGAGGTCACCCTCTCTGATGGTTGTTGACTGCCGATGACGGTCATAAGTTGACCTCTGGGTCTGCCAGGCAGCTGCTTGATGCTTCTTGGTGTACTTCAGGGCTTCTCCAAGGCACTGCTGGAGTTCTGCAACAAGGGCATGGTGCGCTGCCTCTGGAGGTTCCGTGTCCTCCTTGTCCCCTGCAGGTTCCCACGGAGTGCGCAACTCTCGACCATAGCAAAGCAATGCCGGAGTATATCCGGTGACTACGCTCTCTGCAGTACGCATGGCAAGGCTGATCTCGGGTATATGACGGTCCCAGTCTTTGTGGTTAGTGCAGTAGGCTCGTAGACATTGCTTAATTGTGCCATTATGACGCTCCACCATCTGTCCAGCCGGCCGGTAAGGCACAGTATGCCGATCTCTGATTCCCCAGTGTTTCAGGAGGTTGCGCCATAATGTGCTGACAAAGGGCTTCCCATTGTCACTGGTGATTGCCACTGGTGTCCCATGGCGGCAGAAGACCTGAAGCATGCACTCAAGTACTTTTGCACTGGTGGCTGCTCGTAGAGGGAATAGCTCTGGGAATTTAGTAAACTTGTCAATGACTACGAGCAAGTATTTGTGGCCACGAGGTGTAGGCGGCAAGGGTCCAATAATGTCAACGCTAAGCTCCTCCATCGGTGCTGTTGCCCACTGACTGCTCATCAGGCCTTCAGGCTTTTGCGCCTGGGTTTTGTGCGCTGACATATAGCACAGCCCTGCACATACCTTGATATGTCCGCCCGCATGCCCAGCCAGACGAATCGTGCTGCTACACGTCTCAAGGTTTTGAAAAATCCAGCGTGGGCCGCAGTGGGATGGTCATGCGCCATTTTCAATGCCAGGTGCCGGAGGTGAGAGGGCAGCCATGGTACCTTCTTGTTGCCTCTTTGCTGAACAAGCAGGCCACTTGGCTCTAGTTCTGTTGTTTCCGCCAGATCATGGAGAAGGCGATGATCAGGGTCTGAATTTGGAAGCATAACCCCCTGGACCACAGTTTTCAGTTTTGACAGACGACTGTCACGAGCCTGCTCTTGTACGAGTTGCGCGGTGTCACTTAAGGCAGTCATATCATCTTCCAAGGCAACTGCCACTTGCTCAAATGTAATTTTCCCTTCAGGTTCTTGTGCAGCAATAGGAAGCAGTTTCTCGTGCAAGCTGTCGCTGGGACGGTCCTCACATTGAAGGGGGCTCTACTCAGGGCATCTGCAGGTATATTTGCCAGCCCCCGTCTGTGCCTGATTCGGCAGTTGAAAACCCTGCAACCGGAGGACCCAGCGTTTGACCCTGGGCGAAGCTTGGTCGGTGCTGAACATCCACGACAGGGAAGAGTGGTCGCAGTGTATCTCAAAGTTTGTAAACTCGAGATACGCCCTGAATTTGTCCACAGCCCACACCACTGCAAGGCATTCCCACTCCTGGACAGTATAGTGGCCTTCGGCTTCTGTGAGAACCCTGCTGATGAAGGAAATGGGCTGCAGTCCGTCGGGGCCAGCCTGCAGTAGGACAGCTGCAATGCCAATGCCGCTTGCATCCGTTTCAACCACGAAGGGTCGATTGAGATCTGGAAGGCTCATAACTGCATCATGAGCCAAGGACTGCTTGAGCGCAGTGAAGGCTTCCTCTTGACGCTCATCCCACCGCCATGGCTTCGCTTTTCTTCAGAAGGACAGTGAGTGGATGTGCCGTCAGTGAGAAATGCGGTATGAAGCTGCGGTAATAACCAGCAAGTCCCAGGAAAGCCTGCAACTGTTTAATCGTGCTAGGTCGCGGATAATCCAGCACCGCCCGCACTTTCTCTTCATCTGGTCTGCACTGCCCAGGGGAGATGACGTGGCCCAAGAACTTAAGGGACTGACGGCAGACTTGCATTTTATCAGGGTTAATCGTAAGGCCAGCATTGCCAATGCGCTGCAACACTTCCCTAACATGCTCAACATGACTCTCCAGATCTTCAGAGTAGACGAGAACATCATCCAGAAAAGCCATGGCGAAGCTGTGATTGATGCCGTGCAACAACCGGTCCATCAGGGTTTGAAAAGTTGCCGGGCCACCTGCCACCCCGAAGGGCATTCTCGTGAACTCATATGTGCCCTGGTGGCAGATGAAGGCTGTTTTTTCTATGTCGGCCTCAGACACAGGGATCTGAAAGAAACCCTGGGAAAGGTCGAAGCTCGAAAACCACCTTGCACGACCCAATTGTGCTAGCAGCCAGTCCGTTCGTGGCATTGGGTAGGCAGGTATGCGGGTGCGTGCATTTAACGGCCGATAGTCCACAGCAAGCCGGTAGCCACCAGATTTCTTGGCAACAAGCACTGGGGCACTAGTCCAAGGGCTGGTGCTATGTCTTATAAGGCGCTGCTCCAAAAGGTCATTTACGCAGTCTTCAATGATCTTCTGCTTTTTTGCATTTACGGGGCGCAGCTTGCATCTCACAGGTGCACTATCTCCAGTGTCAATGCAGTGCTGAGCGAGGGCGGTACATCCAGGAATGGTAGTGAACAAATGAGAGAAGTCATCGAGCACCTTATTCATGGTTGGTATGCCTTCAGCTGGAATAGTGTGCCCAATGCCCGGGACCAGAAGCACTTCCTCAAATAGGCCCTGCAAGCAATAAGATTCACTATTTTCTATCGCGAGCGCGGCGGTTATATCCTTGTCGCGCTTAGCAAATGGCACAATGCACTGCGGATCAGTTCCAATAGTCCACCCCGACAACGCCACATGTAGGGACATGCCTGTTGCAGTCAAAAAGTCTCTGCCAAGCACAATGTCCCGACACAAATCTGGCACACACAGGAAGCGTTGGATGCGGTTGCTTGAGGCCCAATGTATCTTGCACTTTAAGGATGTGCTTGACTGTGACCAACCTGTGGCCAGTCGAAGAGCTCTTTCTTGTACCCGGTGTTTGGCGCCCGTCGCCTCCGCTACCCTTGCCGCTGGCGTACCAAGCAAACTCACACTGGACCCTGTATCTAGCAGGGCCAGGAATGTGGTCCGCCCAATCCGCACCTCCAGGAGAGGCTCCCTGTTGCCGGCCACAGCCGCTATCCGCAGCGCTGTCTCGTAGGTGCTCGCCGGAGTAGCACCTACCGTCTCCCGTTTCCCGGGCACTGGGAGCGGATATGCCCGATTCTGTTGCACTGATAGCAGCGGGGCGGACCGTTACGCCGACCCGAAGGGCACTCGCGACCCATGTGGCCTATGCCTCCGCAGCGGTGGCACGTAATTGCCCCGCCGTCGAGCAGTTGGTATCGCTGCGGCTGTGGTGGCGTGGGAACATGTGGAGCAGGTGATCTGTGCAGCTGGTCCCGGTAGTAGGACGGCTGTATCGCAGCGGGGTGCAACGGCCAGTATGATGCTGCCGACGGATGCTGGAACGGCGCCGCAGCCGCCGCCATTACTCCGGGCTGCGCTCCTGACAGGCCACTGAGGCCAGCCGTATTCCCAGCAGGCCGGAAGGCAAGGTCCCTCGCAACTTGATCGGTTGGGGGTGGCGGTGGTTTGTACTGGAATCGCCTCCAATACCGCTCCATGAGGCCGTCAGCGGCCCTTGCCAGCTCCGCGAGAGTTGCAAACTGCTTGCCCTCCACCAAATCCTGGAGCTGCGGGTGCATCTGCCGCAACACACGGTCGACTTTTTCTGTGTCCGACACTTCGCCGCCGATCCTGTCATAGAATTCCGCGATCGTGTAGATAAATTCTTTTAAATTTCTTCGGGGTGCTGAGTGCGGAGCTCCAACTCCTGCCTCAGGCGCCGCTTCGCATCAATAGACGAAAATTCCGCAACGAACGCCGCCTTGAAGTCATCCCAGGATGCAAATGATTGACGAAGCGCAGCCACAACTTCGCGCTCCCCTCCAGCGCAGCGGGCACGATATGCGTGAGCCTCTTGTCGGCGGCGACACCAGTCACCAAGCAAAAGGTCTCGAG